TACAGGCCATTAATTTCAGCAGTTGCAAATCTTCCAAATTAGCACAAACATGGTATCCAGTACTGTTTTCTACAATCACCTACACAACCCTTGGGGCAGCAATTTTCACAACCTGTTGCACAAGAAGGCATACTGAAAAACCACTACTGGAACCACATGACCCAACATAACTGAGATAGTATGGATCTTCATTCCATTTACAGTGGTGCCGCGCTTTACGATTGCTTCACAATGATGTTTTTGCAATTGCTATTGTGATCGCAAAATGATGTTTCAAAGAGCGATTTTCGCTATTGCGATCACAAAATGATGTTTCAAAGAGCGATTTTCATTTGATGATGATAGGTTCGCATTACGACGATCTAAAAACAGCTGATTTTCAGGTTTCAAAATGGCTCCCCGCTATGCAAAATGGCTCCCCGCTGTTTTTAGGACGGATCTTTCGCTTAACAGGGATCGGAAAATGGCCGCCCTATGGAGGATCTTCGCTGGACGCTGAGGTATTTTGCCCATTGGAACACATTGAATGCATTTCAATGTTTTTTCTTTCCTCGTTTGACGACGATTTTACTCTACAGAGATTTTGCTGGAACGGATTATCCTCATCAAGCGAGGCACCACTATATATTATATTGGAGCTAGGTCAAGGGTCAAATGGAAGTTTGCTTTAGATTATTATGTGTGTCATTCTTGCCATTCATCTTGCACCTGCTCCTCAACTCCTTGCTGTTTTCATTGCATAGGCCCCTTGACTTCTCCTAAATGTCCTACTGCTTTGGCTGTTACTTCAGCAGTGTACTTTTTTGGTGCAGTTTTCACAATCTTTTTTTAAAAAAAATAGCTAGCCTTCCTTTACAAAATAAATCAGGTCTTTAAATTCTGTGCCAGAAAGACTTCTCTTTTCAACACAGATTTTCTTGTTCTGTAAAGGCATGGTTGATGTAGTGAAAACAGTCCTGTGTCTTTGGGCAGGGAAGTTTACATTTTCACCAACAGCAAAAGTTTTGTCCATAGTTGTTCATATTGTTCATGTATTTGCCATGTAGATAATAAGAAATAGCTTCCATTCTTATAAAAATTAGCATTTTGAAGAATAATACAGGTCTTCTCCTGTTAATTGTGTTACACCATGACAACATGTCCAGATAATTTTGCCTTCTTTTTAAAACTTCAACAACCAAATAAAGACAAGGAAAGATAAATACCAGTGGCCTCAATTTGGCTTGTGGTCTACAATCTTGAACAGTAAAGTGATAAAAAGCACTCTAATTGATTACACTATAGATGCCCATCTTATGTATGAGGCATTATTCTATCCTGTTTTACAACTGGGCCAAGAAAACTCTCGCCACCTTCATCACTGCATGTAGAGATTACTAATGAAGCCCTGTTGCATCAGAAGGGCAGTGGTAGTGGTGGGATTTATATATTTATTTATTTTATTTCTATCCCGCCTATCTGGTCATATTAGACCACTCTAGGCGGCTTACATTCAAAAACAACAATATAATTTTTAAAAATCATTACAGCTGAACGGAAATAAAATCGGAGAAAATATATAAAAAAAAAGAAAAGAAAAGTTGTCAGGGGTTAACTGTTGGGAAGGCCTGCCTATACATCAGTGTTTTTAGTTGTTTCTTAAAAATACCCAGCGAAGGGGCTGCGCGAATCTCAGGAGGTAAGTTGTTCCAGAGGTGAGATCACAACACACAGCAAGGACTAGTTAGAAAGAGCAAGAGGAGAGCCAAATCCTCAGAGGCCTGTTGATTTTGGCTTTGGTACCTCTTTTTTAATTTTTAGGTCCCCCG